TAGAGGGCTCTGAGGTCATAGTTCAAAAAGCTTGGGGGATAGCCGGGTCAAATCCTGAGGGGACCAGGAGGAGCTGAGGAGAGAGACAGGGAGGAGGCTGAGCCTCTAGGAGTGGGGCATGGCAGAGAGAAGCAAGCATGGTTCCAGCGTAGAAAGAGTACAGTCTGAGAGGGCTGAGGCCAGGAAGCATCTGAGTGTCAAAGGCGTCCGGTCCCCCTGTGATGGATGGGACACAGGACATGGGAGAAGAGGGCCCGAGGCAGGGTTGCCTCCTGTCTGTAAGGCTCACTGCTTAGCTATGCTATCCTTCAGCAGGTGCTAGACAGCAAAGGGTCCTCGAGGCTGTCTCCAGGCCCAGCAGCGTTGCTTCTGTGGCTTTGCGTGGCTCCTATCTTTCAAGCCTCACTTTCCTTATCTGGGGTCAGCCAGAGGCCTCTTCTCCCCTTTGATGAACCCTGCTGGGACTCTGTACCTCTATCCACTCTTCACACCGACAGCCAAATCGCCATTAATTCCTATCAGCCCTAGATGTACGTTTGACCGAATCAAGGGAGGGAGATGACTGGCCACACGTGGGGTCAGTCCAGTGGCTGGATGTGGCTTGGTCACCTGATCCTTCTCACCTGTGCCCACTCCCTGTCGTCCTGTGGGAAGTTAGGTCCTATTAGCACACAAGGGGCACACAGCTGGTGCAGAGCTGGACTGTGGCCCAGTGGGGCTACGGATGGAGACGTGGGAAGGCCCAGGGAGGGCTGGAGCTAGCCTTGCCAGGTGGAGCCACCCTAGGTGGCACTGGGTAGTGATGGGGATGGGAGTCACTGAGGCAAGGAGCCCAGGACAGGAAGAGGGTACACCCAGAGAGACAGGGGCCATCCAGGTGAGTTGGAGTGTGGGACTGGGAAAACAAGGAGCAGGTATGCAGCCCCTGATTGGATAGCACCAGTAGGAGGTGGGCAGCTGGTGGGGAGTGAGTACCCAGAGCTAGACTCTCATGAGGCAGGGTGTGGCACTGTGTACCATTTAAGTATTAGCCAGTGTTGCCTTTAGTTTTCCTTATCCCATAGTTCTCTAGGCCCCTCTCCTTCCTGAACCTTCACAGTGCAGCAAACTCTGAGGTGCTCTCCTGACTACCACACTCTTCAACCTCCACCTCCTTGGAGGCTGGTTGGCTAAGTGTGAGACACCCACTCATGGGGACCCCAGCCTCTGCAGGAGGCTGCAGCAGGAAGCTCCTCCCAGCAGGACACACCCACAAATGAAGCTACCTCCACCCCCACCTCAGCTGCTTCTACAGGCACCAGAGGCCTTGGTGGGGGAAGCAGGAGGTCAGTGACAGAGATGGAAGACATGGCTTCGGGAGAAGGACAGGGCAGAGCCAAGGCCAATGCTGGCTCTACCTTGCCTGCTCACCCAACAAACTCCTGGCTGCCTCTTACTCTCAGGCTTGTGCCCCGGCCACCTGTGCCAACAGCTGGCACTGTTAAAAGCTGCCATGGATCAGGCATGATGCTAGGTGTCTTTCCCACGTGAGCTTCTATCATATTCATGACAGCTCTAAGCAGGTATGTGATGTGTAATTCTCAGTTCAAAGAAGTCACTGGGAGAGCTAAGAAATATCCCTGGCAGCTGTGGCTCCCAGGGGCCTTGAAGGCTGCTCCCAGGGCCAAAGTCTTCACCTCTCCTCCAGGTCTAGGTACCTCTGGACCATGCCTGTGCAATGGCTGCTGATCAAGAGAATCATGGATTGCTGGGACTGGACCTAAATTCTGGCCATCAATGGGAACATATATGAAGAGTGACCTTCAGGTACAGATGGACAGGTAAGGCTTTGGGGGACTCCCATCCTTGTAAATCTAAGACCCCCACCTCCCAGACTAGGTAGTACCCCATTTGCTCTGTCATCTATCTGCAAGTATCAAGCATCCATTCCTGGATAGACTCCAAGAGGAAGCAGAGAAACATGGGCCCGAAAAGGGTCAGGTGAGAGATGAAGAGGATAGGATAGGCCGAGCAAGAAGTTTCTGAGCTCCTCTCCCTCTCTCTTGGCATCCTCAACCATGTCAGCACCACCTCTCAGTGAAGCCTGGGCAGAGTATGAGGCTGGGGTCACCGCCCTCAATGACAGGCATCCTGCTCTCCCGCAGGGTCCTGTCTGGCCGGCTCTAGGTTCTGCTACTTGGTGCCTTTGGTAGAACAGACTAGAGCCTGAACGGTTGCTGAGCCGTAGGTATGCTGAGGTTGGTGACTGGCTTTGGACTTGGTATCTGCAGAGGCTTGCCCTAGCTGTGCTCACCTCCCTTCTCAGGACTTACGGCCTGTGCTCGTGGTGTGGGGAGGATGCCTCTGGGACTGTGGGGACCCAAAGGAGCAACACTGTAGAGGAAGGAACATATGGGCAGAGGGACCGGAGACACGAGGCCGTCAGGGAAGGTGGGTACTCATACAAGGACTGACAGGGAGGCTTCCCCTGTCTGCTATGTCTCATATGTGCAGCACTCACTAGCTTTGGAGCTTCTCTGTAGGAAGCCCTGGGGTCCTGGGCTGGATCAATGAGAGAGAACCACTATGGGCTGTGTCTTAACAGAGGGTCCTCAGCCTTGGCTGGGCCACCTGTTATCACTCAGAACCCACACGGCAAGAAGGCCTTTGCTGACGGGATTGTGTTACTTCCTTAGACTGTCTGCTCTGAGCGGTCTCTAGCTCCCCCCTCTTCAGTTCTCTGGAGGGTTCTCTTCCCTCCTCCCCAGGAAGATTGAGGCTTTCCCTCAGTCAGTGGGGTAGCACCCTGCTGCCTCAGCAGGGATGGAACCACCTCTGTCCCGAGAGACCATTCTGCCCTCCCTCTACTACAGGGCTCTCACCAGGGTCAGTTGGCTTTTCCTGTCCTGCCTGGTGCTGACAGGAGTCGGGGGTTCTGAGCCTGAAAAGCTCCCAGCACCTTTGTGTGGGTGATGTTGCAGGCTTGAGTCAAGACTGGGTCACGTTCAGTCTTTAAACTGGGACCTTTGTGGTCAAAATAACACAGCTTGGGCCACGAGGGAACTCTGGGGCTTGGAGACTGGCGCGTGCTGGGGCTTTAGCTCCTCTGTGTGTTGTGCCCTCTGGAACTTTGTGGGGTGTCCTGAGTCTGGCTCACAACTAGGAAAACTGACTTGTAGGCATCTAAGAGATATGGCCTCCGTGGCGAGGGCACAGAATCTCTCTTGGAGAGCTCCTGGTTCTAACAGCTAGAGTGGGGGTAATGGTCTCAAACCTGTACCTCCACTGTGGAGCCCATGAGGAAAAGTCACTGCCAGAGGAATGTATGATCCTGGGCTCCCACGGCCTGAGAATCAGCCTGTTCCAGATGTGTACAGACACAGAAAGCCGGAGAGGGGGCCAAGGTAGGAAGCGGTGATGGTAGGGGCAGAGCTGTTCCCTCAGCATTGCTTTCTGAGGGGTTCACCTTCTGCCTCCTGCTTTCCCCACTCCCCAGATAAAACCTACCCACAGTGGGCTGGAAGAAACCTGCGGGGTCATCTTGGCAGTTATATGACAGCAGGACATGTGCCTTTGACCCTACGAAACTCTGAGTACTCAGTGTCCTGGCCTGCCTTCTACCACAACACATCTTCACCTTGGTCCTCTGGCGGAGAAGCTGGTCAGTACAGGGTTCAGAGACATAACCTAAGGAGCCAGGTGGCCTAGGACCTGGCCTGTCATGGAATTTCCTCTCCCTCACCTTCTTCTGCTGGGTACTTCTCCTTGGTCTGTCTTCCACCCTTTCCGTTTCAGGACCTCAGAGCCTCAGACTCTCCAAAGACAGTATGCTGGCGCTCCCTCTCTGAGGCCAACCTTGTCAGCTTGGCTCAGCTCTACCTCCCCTCCCTGTCTGTCTGACTTTCCACACATGGCCTGACTTTCAGTATAATGCCCAAGTATGCTCTTACAAGCTCTTACAAAGCCACCTCTGCCCTTCCCTGGACCTTGTATCTGTTACTATTACCTGGGTGCTGCCCTGTCTCACCAGCTACCAGCTAGGGTCTGAAGTCCCAGAGCATCCTAACTCTTTTCACAGGGGCCTATTTCAGAGAGAAGTGCTGAGAATTCATGTGCTTGGTCAACCAGGGGCCTCCACATTAGCATTACAAGATGAGGTGACCTCTCTATGACCTTCATGCTCTGACCTCCTGGACCCACACAACTGTGATCCCTAATGGTGCTCAGCTATGTAGGGGAATGAGTGACCTGGGGCAGCCCAGGGAGTCTCAGTTTCTTCCTCTGAGAAATGAGGACCCTTCTACCCAACCCTACAGATGCCCAGGCTTGGATGAGCCTGACAGTGTCACTGAGCAGGTTGTGACCACCCTAGAGGCTCAAGCTGTGCTCAGGGGGGTGCAGGCATCTGTCACAGCCCATAGGCCAGCAACCTAGAACAGGGGGACCCACTGATGGGCATTTTGACATTCTGCTGTCAAAAGTGGTTGTGCTCTCCTTCCTTTTCTCTTCAGGCTGGTCTAGAAGGACACCCTGAGAGCAAGGTCAAGAGGACCACGCTGTACAGAACCCCCTCCCACCAGGGTCCCATGCTGACCCTGGGAGCCTAACATAGGTGTCGGCTTCTACTTGCACTCAGGCCACTAGCCATGGGTTCTGGGTTCTCTGCTACAATGTACAAAGAAATAAAGGCGTTTGGTGGAGGGTAAAATTAAAAAGGAAAATAATGAGTTCCCGCCTGCAGTGGAACCTCCCCACATCCACATACCACACACGGAGACCCCGCAGCACACCGCACGCATCCTCATGCTTACACTCGCCCACGCGCAGGCTCACACGGCAGTACCCCGCCCCGCCACCGTCCACATGCTCACTCACCAGTGCCCAGGCTTTCATACTCCCCAGAGCTGGCATGTACACACATGACCACATGCCAGGACCCCCCCCCCCAGGCCAGCATTCATTCACACTCGCCCGCACACCCAAAGGGGCAAGGAGAACAAGGAAGGGGGAAGAAGTGTTACCCATGAGGAGCCGCCGTTTCACCCGCTTGTCCACATCAGCTACTGACGTGGCATTGAACTGAGAGCGCTCAATTGCAGCCTCATCCTTCTCTAGAACACAAGTAAGGGACAAACACGGAGCCAGTGGTTAATGAGAGCCCACTACCCGCGGCCCAAGACAGTCAGCCTCTTGGCGTGGCACACACAAAGCCAACACAGCATGCCGGGCCAGCACGGTGCCCTCGCCAAGGGCTAATAATCCCAGGAACTTCCAGGCGGGTGTGCTCAGGGTGAAGCAAAGAGGTAGCAAGGGTGGGAGGGATGGCATGCAGACATGGGAAGGCGGCCACGGCACAACCCGGACACAGTAGGGACTCCGTGGGGACACAGGGCCCGTGTGCAGACAAGCAGGGTAGGCGGCTGAGGTCAGAACAGGGAGCCTGCATGGAGGACACAGAAGCAGACAGCATGCCATGGGCTCACAGGGAGAAGTGGTTACAGGTCCCTGTGGCTTGAGCATCACAGACACAGGGCAAAGCGTAGGACAAGGGAGATAGGTTTGCGAGGTCTGGTGATGGATATACCCGGGACAGCAGATGCCCTGTTACAAGGATGCTGCCACTCATGCAAAATTAAGAACAAAACTCACAGAGAAACATACGCATACATACACACAGGATGCTGGATCCCATTGGACAGACAGAAAATCCAGGGGATCTGGGCAGCACTGGTTGCCTGCTTGTCTAGAGGACCAGAGCTAAGCATTCAAGTGCTTGACAAGGGGCTGCGGAGAAGGATCAGTCATTTTAGGAGCGTGCAGGAGGGAAACGGCTTGGGCCGGCCAGGGAGCCTCCAGCCACTGGGCACAAAGCTGTGCCAAGATGCTTTGCTGGGACTGGTGATGGAGAGCAAAGCGGGACAGGAGGTTTCTCATCCTGGCCAGGAGTTTAAGCCACAGTGGCTGGAGCTGGGTAGGGGGATGGTTTCTAACAAGGGGGAGGGGGGAGACAAGAAGTGTGGGCTTGGGAAAAGAGATCCAAGCAGGGACTATCACATGCAGCAGACGTTAAAAAAAAAATAAATAAAAATAAGATGAGAAAGGATGAGGAGGACACAGAGAGGAAGGGTGAGACCCAGACTGGAGTTCATCTGCCCAGCAACTGTCTGTGCTGGTCCAGCGGCTGCAAGGCAGGCTCGGCTGGACATGGGAAAGGTGGACAGACAAGACAGAGGGGGTGCCAGAGTGGCTCAGGGGAGCTCTGGGCAGGACAGAGAAGGGAGAGAGACCAGAGGACAGAATGGTTCTAGATGGGATCAGGCTGCAATAGAGACACTGGTCTGAGACCTAGTTTGGTTTTGATAAAAAAAAAATTTTTTTTGGTTGGTTGGTTGATTGGTTGGTTTGGTTTTGGCTTTTGGCTCTGAAAAATGATTAATGAATGTCAGTTATCAGACAAGACAGGCAATCAGGGACCATCACAAGAGAAGCAGCAGGAATGAGGTAAAACGAAATAAAAAAAATGGCTATCTGAGAAAAGAGACCACACAGAGGAAGGAGAGCCACCACAGGCAGCAGGACAGCCCCAACTACAGAGGGGATGGCCTGGGATCCCTGCCCAGCCTAGCACCCAGCTTTCCAAGACACCAAGGAGCAGCGACAGGGGACAGGATAAAACAGCAGCTTTGGGACACATGTGCGTACATGGGTTCGACCAAACACCTTCCTATCACTCAAAAAAAACCAAAACAAAACAAAACAAAAAAACCCCTGGAGAAACACCCCTCAAGTTGATAATAAGAAATGGGGGCCTTTTCAAAGAAGTACCGAGCATGAGCCCTCCCCCCAACTGTTGGGTCTAGCAAGCAGACACTTGGCCCCAAAGACTGAAATTCTTTTTTCTTAAACAAACAAACCAACAAAAAAAAATCTTACTGTTGTTTTTGAACAGGAAAAAAAGCATATTAGTAATTATTGCATAAAGTAACCACGAATGTTCAAGCTGCCCCTTAGGAACATGGGTGTGGAAGAGGGAGGTGGCTGAGCCTCACTCAGGACTCCCTGGAGCAAGCAGGTGATGGGACAGGAGCATTGCTGAGAAGAAGGGACTTGGGGTACGTGAGGAAGTTCTAGGGAGAGCCGGCCAGCTCGGAAATGAGAAGTAGTCCCAGGCATGCACGCCCCACGCAGGGTGCATAACCTCTGCCCTCACAGTGGGCCACGTGCTAGGGAACTCAGTTTCCCCGTGGCTGGGTACAGCACCCAGGCCTACAGGTGCTCACACGGACTCAGTGAGGCTGCCTACGGGTTTTCCAACATTAGGAAATACCAGTGCCTTAGGGACAGACGATGCCCCCAAGCTGAAGCACGATGCCACAGACAACTCCCTGCGCTGAGGATGAGGTTGGCAGCAACCCCGCTAGGGAGACCCAACCTAGATGGCCCTAGGGAACTTGGTCCCAGGGGACTGAGGGACCCAGGACAAATCTTCATAGAAGCTGCCATCCCCCTTGGCCTTGTGGGTGCTTCCTCTTCTTGTCTCCCTTCTGGTTCCTTCACACAGGGTACCTGCAGGGGCAGCATGGCACACAGCGGTACTGGCTTACAGTACCCACTTACCGATGCATGTCCGACCGTCCGCATGTAGGGCGTACTTCTGGTGGCAGCCACACATGGGGCCCGTGTCTGTGTCCTCGCAGCTGTGCTGACAGCCTCCGTTTCCATAGTTACAGGTTACTAGTAAGTCCCATAGTGTATACACGTATGTATAAACAAAACAACAACAGAAATTGTTAGTTTACAGGCATTGGGGTTTCTTTTTTTTGGGGGGGTAGGGGTTGAGGAAGTAAAAGCCTAAGGTGTCCAGGGAACAGCCCTTTGAGGATGGAGGGCGGCAGACATGTGTCTCTGTCCTTGGGTCCCTCCAGAGTGGCAGACAGAAATTCTTGTCTCTTGGGAAAGGAGAGGGCCCAAGAGTGGACTCTGGGCCTCCCATAGCTAATATATGAAGAGAGTAGGGGGTAGAGAGAGACTAGACACCCAGGCAAGACACTTTAACCCCATCAGTCCAATTTGGGGCAAATGCCTGTTGACATCAGGACATACAAGGTCAGCTGTGGGGGAGATGGTGGCCGTGGTTCAAAGGGACATTCATTTTCTTAGTTCTTGCACAGCTCTCTCCACTGCCTGAGTGGGATGTCGCTGTGGATACCTCTCTCTCTCTCTCTCTCTCTCTCTCTCTCTCTCTCTCTCTCTGGGTCCTAGCTGTGAAGCATCTTAAGCTCTGTTCCCTTACAGTCCTGACCCTGGAGCTCAGCTATGCCCAGATAGAACTTACACAAATTAACATCATCTGGGCCGTAGGCTGAGAACGACCAACCTTGTGTGGTTGCTGATGCCTGTGGCTGGGGGATCTAGAGCCCGTCAGCCCCAGACACCCCTCAGCAGCAGCAGCAGCCTGCATCCTTGGAAAGGGGACTGAGTGAAAAAGAGCCAGTCTGAAGTAGGAAAATGGTAGGTTTTATTTAAATGAAGGTGGTCCATTGCCACTGTCTAGGGGGAGGGAGGCCCCGGGAAAAGGACAAAGTCAGATCTCTCCCAGGGGCTTTTTGGAGACTGCTTTATCATGCAATGAGCTGGTGGCTAAGATGGCTTTCACCTGAGTGCCTGGACAGCATGTATTTATGGAGACCTTGATCGGCTTGTCAAAAAATCTGTCTACGTACATTGTTTACTTGTGAAAGTCTGTCTGAGGCCAGGCCTGGCTAGAGGAGCACTGAACTCCAGATCTAAGAGTTTGAACTAGCCTAGTAAGCGGATCCATTCAGACGGCTGGCAAGGCAGAGAAGTTGCTGGAGTCCATTTTTGGGAACGGACCTCTGCAGTCACATTCCGAATAGGTTTCTCTTTAGAAAGGAAGCACAATGGCCCTCTGGGCTCGCTTGTCCCGAGAGCCATTGGCCCCTGGACCTTGGACATGTAGTCTCCATAGCAGGTAAGGGCAAAGACAGCAGATATCCATCTGGCATCTTACACACTGACTCCAGAAGCCAGGGTCTCTCAGCAGTGTCTTTTTTCTTTTAAGACAGGGTTTCTGCATGTAGCCTTGGCTGTCCTGGACTTGCTTTGTAAACCAGGCTGGCCTCAAACTCACAGAGATCTGCCTGCCCCTGCCTCCCCCAGTGTGGGGATTAAAGGAGTGTGCCACCACGCCCGGCTGGTGTCCTCTGGACCCAACTTCCAAAGAAGGTAGATGGCCCACAGGTTCTCTTCCACGAAGTCTGTCCCTTCCACACTCAGGGATGGTGGTGAAAAGCAGCAAGATGGTGTTTTTCCAGCTTAGCACTCCCTCTTGGGGACGGAGGCCCAGGGCTCAGGAGCAGGGCTGCATAGGTCTCAGGGGCTGGGCATTATGTGGGTTTTGTTTGTTTATTTGTTATTGAGAGTTCTCTTCAGAGTGGGCCCAGGGACATCTTGGGCACAAGGAAGTGAGAGTAGCACAGCCGGTTTCTCACATGTTAGACTCCGGCAAGACCAAGATGGATAAAGGAATGTCCTCTCTGGAAAGGGCCCTAGCCTCTGGAGAAATGAGGGATTGGGGTGTGGAGCCCTGCAACCCCTCCCAGCTCAGGCAAGGTCAGCCTGGACGCCTGCCCAAGTCTAGAGTTCAAGGTTCTTGAAATAGAAATGAGCTTGGGGCTCACGCAGGTCTCCCCCGTCCTTTGTGTTGGTCCTAACCTTCTACCTTGTTTGAGGCAGGGTCTCTTCTTGTGTACCACCACATACACCGGGCTAGCTGACCCACAAGCTTCCAGGAACTCACCTATCTCCACCTTCCATCTCACCACAGAAACACTGGGATGGCAGGCACATACCTCAGTGTCTAGATTTACATGGGATCTGGAGATTTGGTCTTCTAAGCCATCTCTTTTGGTTTTAGTTTTAGTTTTTAGAGACAAGGTTTTTCTGTGTATCCCTGGTTGTCCTGGAACTTGATCTGTAAATCAGGTTGGCCTCACACTCACACAGATCCACCTGCCTTTAATCCCGAATGCTGGGATTAAAGGTGTGCACCGCCATCACCGTGACCACCAGCTTTTTTTTTTTTTTTCTTTTCTTTTTTGTCTTCCAAGTCATTTTTAATCATGCCTCCCTCACACTCAGAAGGAACTAAAACCAGACCTCATGGGTGTCTTCCAGGGAGATCATAGGGCTTTTTCCAACTCTTTGGCCTAGGATGTAGAACTAGGCTTTCTATACCTTGTCAGAGAGAGAGAGAGAGAGAGAGAGAGAGAGCGCGCGCACGGGACTGTGGATCCAGGAACAGTAAATGTTCCCAGGCAGGGCGGGGCCCTTTCCTGACCCTGTGTTGATTAGGGTAGGGGTCTTAGCTTTCCATAGACTCTGGCTTGTCTTCGGTCCTTCCAGCCAAGCCAGATACCCAGAGGAGTTTTGTGGGTAAACCTCCTTGTGTGGCATTTGTCCCAGATGGGTTACAGGGTGAACTGATTCTGTGAGGTCACTCTTTCTAGTGTTTGCATGGAGCGAGTGTCCAGAGAGCATATTTGTCTGCAGCCTGTGCCTGCTTCTGTCCTAGCTCAGCACGAGGACTCGGGAGAGCTGGGGTCAGCCCCACCTGCTCTGAAAGTGGCCAGATAGTGGCTGTTTTCTCTGAAGTTGGAAGCATTCATCTGTGGGGCCTGGCTAGGGCCCGGGCTATCTCTGTCCTGCCTTGGTGACAGCTAACATGCGAGTCTTTGCTGTTCCGTGGGAAAGAGCTGGGAGTGATGAGAGAGACCGGCCCATATCCTGACCGTAGGCAGATGTTGTAGAATGTTATTCTTGAACACATCAGCAATCTTCATCAGAACAGATGTTTGCAGTTCTGCCCCAGCTTCGTGTAGTGTGAGGCAGTGATAGAATACATAGAAGGTGGAAGGTTCACTGATGGAGTGGGGAGCGGGGGCTCCTGTCTGTGGCTGTCATCATCTGTGCTGGCACAAGCATGAGGTTCCCCATGAAACTCATTGGCGCCCCAAGTTGGACTTGGGTGGACTCCTACTCCTGTCAGTCAGTATCTAGGGCAAGTAGGCGCTTGGTCACATCTCGCCAGGAAGAGTTCACAAAATACCAGGGATAAAGACAGTGCCTACGTCGGGAGATGGGTAGACAGGCTAGGAGGCTGAAGCATAAGCCGCTGGGGACAGGGACAAGAGCGGGTGCTCGTGGGTCCCCAGGACCGTGGCAACTATTGGTGGAAGGTGAGCCGAGAGAGCCTCAGCCTCTGGGGATGGCGGCCCAGCTGTCTTCTGCCCAGAATGGAGGATTAAAGGGGAGCCGTGGTTTTTATGGTGCTGTCAGTCAGCCCAGACGCTGATGCTCAGGCAGCCAGGAGCACATTCTTCAAGGTCAGAAGCAGCCTCCTCTGTCTGGCCTGTGTTTCTACATCACAGTGTGGGGCTGATGAAGTCAGGGGTGGGGTTCAGTTGGAAGTATTTACTGATGTTCCCTCAGTTCTTGGCACAAAGAACACTCAGCTTGGCTCTCCCCATGCCCAGTGACAGTGCCTGCATGCCACTGCCTTCTCCCAGAGCTGCTGGCAGGGTGTGTTACAGCTGATGCTCTCAAGTCTTTTGACTGTCTTAAACTCTGTTTCCTTTCCCTATTCCATTTCTAGTCATGGGCTGGATGCCCATGGTAAGGGGGTGGACTGGGGATGGGTGTAGTGGCACATTCCTTTAACTCTAGCACTCTGGAGGCAGAGGCAGGTGGATCTCTGTGATTTCCAGGCCAGCCTGGTCTACAGAGCCAGTTGCAGGACATAGTGAAACCCTGTCCCAATAGCAATAATAAAGCAATGAAAAGAGACTGCACTTTTTATGTTGAGTCCTGGGGCAGACCTCCTCCAGGGAGGCATGCAGGCCTTGAAATGGTGCCTTCTTCAGATATGGGGCTTGCATGGTTGTGCTCAGCCCTGCAGAGGTCACTGAGTTCTGCTTTAAAAATTTATTTTATTTTATTTTATTTTATTTTATTTTATTTTATTTTATTTTATTTTATTTTATTTTATTTTTGAGACAGGGTCTCATGTAGCACAGGCTGGCTTCAAACTCTCTACATAGCTGAGGCTGACTTTGAACTTCTGTCTCTACCTCCCGAGTGGTAGGTAGGTCTATAGGCATGAGCCACCGTGCCTGATTTATTCGATGCTAGAGATGGAACCCAGGACAAGGCAAGTACTCTATCGCCTGAACAATATCCTCACCCTGAGTTCCGGCCTTCGAACCTGGAAAAACGTCACCACCAGGTCCACTCCCCATGCACCCTCCCCCATCCACTCTCCTTTGCTCCTTTATACTCTTCTTTCACCTAAGACTTCTTAGGCTGATCGAGAAAGTGGGGCTTTAAACACTCTGAGCGGTAGCCCTCCATCGCCATAGGAGAGTTTGAGTTCAGGGCTTTCCAGATGGCCCACGGCAGTGGCAGGGACTCTGTCAATAGTATCATACTACGTATTAAAAAAAAAAAAAAAAGCTGGGGGGTCATGACCCTGGGAGGCTCCACCTTCTCCGAGCCACTCAGCAGAACCCACCCTCCCCGAATCCCGGGGTGCTGAGCTCCCTCCCTGACCAGCACCCCGGACAGACCCGCCATAAAGCAATGGTAGGAGACGTGTGGGGGTGTCTGACCCATTTGCCTCCATCTACCTACGTGTGCAGTCCTTCTGGTTTTGGGCAAGGTCAAAGCCGGGCCTGCAGTCACAGGCAACCCCACCTTTGGGTGTCTCCCGACAGATGTGGGCACAGCCATGGTCTTTGTTCATGCAGTTCATACCCTCTGGGAAGAGAGACAGACAAGACAGACGTTGGAGACCAGTAAAAGTAGAAGAACGAAAACCTCAGGCCGTGAGGGGATGATCGGTGGTGTCCCAATGGTGGGTGTTTTTAGTGAGCCTATTTCGGGCACCATTCACACGAACACACACTCAGCCACAGGCACCTTCTGCCACAGCGCCTGAGTCCTGTAAGGTAGAGTCTCAATGACATCTCTGAGCCTGTAAGGCATGGCTCCTGCCTGACATCAGATTGTACGGTTAGGTGTGTCGCATTGCCTTCCATCGGAGCCGTGTGGCCTTGCTCCTCAGCCACTGACGGCTCCAGGATACCTTCTCATCCACTCATTAAGCTCTTATTTCCTCCCTGTCTGCCTGGAGTGGCTTGAACCTCCTTCTGATGACTACAGCTGATGTTTATCTTCTGGGTGGTTTGTGAGGAGTTTCCAGGATTTATGAGGTCAGGGGTCAAGTGAGACGCTGTAGGTCACAAGTCTATCAGGAGGTGTTGGAGGCTGGTTTCATGCTGATTACTGGTTACTGCCTGCTGGATACACCCATCCTTGTTTGTGTAAACCTGCCTCAAACATTATACCTGATCGGTTCATTAAATGGCCTATATCTGGGCAGGGCAGTATGGGGTAGGCGTGGCTAAGATTCCCGGGCTTGGAGAGCATAGAGAGGCTCATGGGAGACAGACAGACAGGAAGAGAGAAAGGGGGAGGACACTGTGATGGGTTAGGTGGAGAAGAAACCACGTGGGCAAGGAGAAAAGATTTCAATAATGGCGTGAAAAGGGCCAGATGAAGAATATAAGCAAGTACCACGGGATTATGGATGGAAGGTAGACCTGATGAGGAGGATGTAGGTGGATGGTATTGGATGGGGACTGGGAGATGGATAGTGAGGTTAGCTAGCAAGTGTAAGTAGAAGATCTGCCCGGCCCAAGGCAAATAAGGGAATCATACATCTAACAGGTGTCTGTGTCTTTTTATTTGTGATAGCAGGTTAAATAATACCGCTGTGATAATCTTAAGGATAATAAAAAAAAACCATTTTGTAGCCCAACAGCCATTATTAGTTTACAACAACAAAGAGGGCACAGGCAGATCAAAGGGCAGAGAGCTTCTGTGTGCTACACGCCTGCTCTGGGACCTGATGTCACCTCCACCTGAAAGATCATGGCGAGGGAAGCTGTCTGGGAGAGGGGAGGAAACCCCTGTGGTGATGACCACATCAGGTCCCTCTTCCTCAGGGACCTGGATTCTTAGCCGAGGGGAAGGGAGTGTAATTGTGACCCTGTGTGCTGTGCGTGGGCCCTCAGTAACGCAGGGCACGTTTGAAAGGACAAGTCTCTGACAGTTATAATATAGACCAAAAAGGCTTGGGCTGGAGGCGTGACTCAGCCGTAGATGAGCGCTTTGGCTAGCATGTTGGCAGCCGTGGGTTCCGCCCCAGCACCATGGAAAAGATAAGCAATAAAGAAATGGAAGTCTGGGGTCCGTTCACAGACGGCCAAGAACGAAGGCTGCATTTTGCCCAGACCTGTGCTGTTTTTATCCCTCCCTTTGGCTTGCTCATTAATTTAAGCCAAGCTGCTGTACCAAATGCAGCGAGAGGATCATCTACTGACCCGTGACAGACAGGCAAAGCCTCCAGGGCATCGAAGGAAGTGATACCACCCATTTCCTCTCCTCCACCTGTGGCCTGACCTGTGACAGCGCTGGGCCTGATGGCAGGGACGGAGATGTGATGGCCGCTGTTCAGTACTCACTGGGAGGGAGCTGACCTGTGACTACAGCCTATTTACGTAAAAATGTTCCTACCTCAAGCTGGTCGCCAGTAGGCAAGGTTGCTCTGGAGCCAAAATGAGCCAAGCCCGACTTCAATAGCAAAGTCCCCGTGGGCGTGAATCTGGCTTCCCCATAAACGTGTGCCTTGGAGACAATCCACTCACTTCTCTGGGCCTCACCCACAAGCATGCGCGCCACTGACACCCTCAGCCTCAAGGATCAGGTGTAAATGTTCACCTAAGCCACAGCCAGGAAGATGCCAAGTGCCTGGTGGGCATTCAGCATTCTAAGTACCTTTGTGGGCCCTGGCCTGCTCCTGCAGATCTGACGGCGGCAGCTCCCTGCTGGGACCTCGATGGGTAGAGCTAGGATGGCTTCAGGATAGGAGCTTCCTTGGCCACCCAAACACTTAGTTTCCTGTCTGGTTTTCTCAGACACCCTCCTGGGTGAGAGTCTGGCTACAAGCAGCACCCTTGACTCATGATAGGAACTGTCAGTGGTCAGCCCAAAGCCTAGGTCTCACCCACTCCTTGCGAAGGGGGCTGCATCTGCAGCTCTCCAGTGTCTCAGCTGTGGCCCGACCTTTGGTCCCCTGTCCCCGCGTACATCCTCCTGAGGTCTGCAATCCCACACTGTCTGCTGTATCCCCGGCTTCTCCTTCCTTCATCCCTGTCTTCCATAAATGACTTCCTAAGGCCACCTCGGAGTCCATAAACTTCATAAAGCCTCCCGAGCAGCCCTCCTCCCCCACCAGGTTACCCTCCAGGCCACGCTGATATCTCAGCTGCCCTGTGCTGGCTCGGATTAATGCCCTAACATACCCGGCTTTATCCTTCCAGGTAGGGAAGAGCCCATTTGCTCTGTTTAACTCAGCTGGTGTGAGGTGAAGAAAGGGAGACTGAATCTCCATTTCTAGTCAAAGAGTCGCAACTTCTGAGGAGCCCTGCTCATTATCAGGCAGCCATGAGCTCATCCCTAGGGAGCTGGCACATCCTGAACCCCAGACCACAGAGCACCAGGCTTTAGCACTGCCATGCCTTCTCTGAGGGTCTGTCACCATCGAGTCTTTCTGTTGGGGTGTCCAGACATTGGGCATGAGCCGAGGGAGTCACACACCCTGGAGAGACTGGTAGAGTGGTGATGCGTCACTGCCGCCGCCGAAGGTCAGTGGCGAGGCTGCAGGAAGGGAACAGGGAGCCGCAGAGCTGGTCTCAAGGGTGCTGACGGAAGATTCCAGAAGCTTCCCTCTTAGTCTGCTCCACAGTTGGGGTGTGTGTGTGTGTGCACGTGTGGAAGGCCTCTGTCTGCCCCTCCCCCCCGTACGTAACCTTGACGTAGAGTCGAGGCTTCTGTGCTGAGGCTCTCCTCTCAGGCTCCCGTACCAAGCCCTCAGCAGGCACGCTACAGCCTTGGTTCACCTCCGGCAGGGTCCAGAGGATGCCTGTTTCCCACTGAGGGTGGGGACAGGCTGGGCACTTCAGGGAGGCTGAACTGGGGTCCTCTCTGTGTTCCTGACCGTTACGACCTTTGTTGCATTTAAAAGGAACAACTTAAAAGTTGCTATGTGAAAACATAATGTTTTCCACCAAAAACAGTATCTTCTCTAAGCCAGGGAGAACGTGGGTCCGAGAGGCATGACCTTGCGGTAGGCATGGGAGGCACTAGGCACCAGCTATTCCAGTGTGGTTTGGACTCCAGATTGGAAGCTGCTCCCAGCTCCTGTGGCCTTTGCCAGGCTGCTCTGGCAGCTCTGGCTGCAGATGGCTTCTCCCACCAACCTGTATTCCTCTCAAGCCCAGGCTCCAGCTACTCGTGCCGAGCCCACGGGTACTCAGCCCCAGGCCCAGGGCCCAGCTGGGGTGATATAGCTAGCTTCTGCTACCCAGGGCTGCAGGCCTCATCTGTCCTCCTGCAGATCTCTGCCTGGGCCACGTCTGCTCCTGAGAGGGTTGCAAACCACAAGCTTTCCGGCACACCTCCCCAGGTGTAGGTATGGGAGCCACGTGTGCCAAGTTCAGAGGAAGCCTGTTTGGTCCCCTCCGCAGAGGAGCTGAAAGAATTTCAGTCATTCCCAGAAGTCCTGCATTTCACATGCCCGGTGCCCTCCAGCTCAGGCTGCCCGAAAACTCAAAGCTAATCTGATCCGGCCCATCCAAATCCAATTATGCTCTGCAGACGTGGGCTGAGTGTCTCCTCAGTGCTAGGCCAGGAGGGGCGTGCACCACGGGGAGACAAGGCCCTTAGCAGCCACATCGATCGTCAGGTCAGCATGGAACTACCGCACGCTTACCTCATGTCTGCGCCTCAGCTTCACCTGAGGCAGAATGAGGCAGCCATGGGTCTTGCTTCCAAGGTGGGACAAGTAACGACAAAGCTGTCCTTGGACCCAGGCAGGAGGAAGCCATCGATGGCGGCCACCAGAGGGGTGAAGCACACGTGCCCGGGGGACCCTCTGCCTGCTTTTGAGGGACAGGCTTTCAAGCCAGGAACAAGGGGGAAGCTGTCACAGTATCCTGAGAGGGATGAAGAGAGTGCAGAGGCTTCTCTGTGACATCTTTGAGAGTTTTCTCCTAGAGCAGTGGTTCTCAGCCTGTGGAGGTGCACGTCATCAAAGGAGTCACATACCAGATAACCCGAGTATCATGTATTGACACCATGATTCGTAAGAGCAGCAGAACTACAGTTATGAGGCGGCAGCAAAATAATTTCCTAATTGGCGGTCACCACAGCATGAGGCCCTATGATAGAGGGTTGCAGCATTAGAGGGCACACCCGATTTACAAACCGCCCACGGGAAGTGGTCAGCGTGGTGGAAGACGTGTCTGGCCACCCCTGGCAACGGGCTCCCATGGTGCTTTTTCCATCAGTGCCTCTTCGTAGGCCAGCTGTTAGCCTTGGAGATGGTCCCACGTGTATAGAGATGTGATGGCACCCTGCCTGCCATACCGGTGTACCTGTCACGTTCCCTCAACCCAGGTCTGGTGCCTTTGCCCCCCCCATCAGAGTTGGAATGTGTGCCTCCCAAGGGTCATTGCTAGGGCGGCTTCGTCAATAATACCACTTCCAAAGTTCCTGTCCCTCAAACACAGAAGAGAACAATGGCCTTGCCTCACCCCAACTCTAGCCCCGCTCCAACTCAGAAGGGAGGATTTGCTTTTCCTTTGCTTCCTTGACACAGTAAAAGAGCCGAGAAAGAGGCTGGAGCTTTAGGG